CACACACACACACACACACACACACACACACACACACACACACACACACACACACACACACACACACACACACACACACACACCACTAGACCCAAAAAGACAAACTAACAGCTCAAAACATCTGCACGTTTTTATGACTTCTTGGACTCATTCACGTGGTCCCACCTCGCATGAACATTACCCTAATCTTACTTCTTAAAAAGGAACAGTTAAACGTTTTGGGAAATACTTAATTCACTTTCTGGCAGAGAGTAACTGTAGATGAGAAGATCCATACCACTCTCATAAGTGTGTTGATTATCAGGCTACAGGCAGCAGCTGATTAGCTTAGCATAAATACTAGAAACTAAAGTCTCTTTCACAAATAGTTCTCTGTAAATTACTGGGAAAACCTTTCAGGCACCGCTGGTGATGTTGACTATTCACTACGTTCAAGAACATTTCCACCTTTTCACATACATGCCATTGTAATGCCAGAATAGACGGGGCATTCCAGTAGATGGCAGTAAGGCAACACTTACAAATGCCAACAGCTATTAAACTCAACCGAAGAAGAAGGGGTACAGCCAGATGTTAGTGTCGTACTATTTTCAGGAATATGGCAGGCGCGGAGCTGTTTTTGTCCGATGTCAATGTTCTTGTAGCGCATGTAGAAGCATTGGCGTAAATACTAAACAATACATATTCAAATATGTCGTCAGAGGAGTCCTGCGATTGGTTCGCTCGCTCCACTTGAGAGGATCGTTCATCAGACCGTCTCAACCGTTAACACCAAGGGTGTCAAACTCAAGGCCCGCGGGCCGGATCCCCGCCCGCCATGTCATTTTATGTGGCCCACGAATCCGCCAGCAAAAAAAAAATAAAAAATTAAAGTTAGACTTGATAATGAAAATATCCCCATAGTCGAAATTATGATATAGAAAGTCAAAACTCAGACATACAAGTCCCCTAAAATAGACTGTTGTTTTTACATTTCAGTTTTCGTACAGATTCCACAAACAAGATATAACGTGAGCTTTAGAGGTGCTAGTAGACAGATGATATTACCTTTCGGACGGAGCCAGGCTAGCAGTCGTTATGCTAAGCTAAACAGCTGCTGGCTGGAGCTTCATATTTAAGTGTGTCATGTTGAGTGTGGTATCAATGTTCTCATCGAACTCAACATGCATATTTCTCCAAATGTCTCTACGGAACTATTTGTTAAAAACCAGATACTAAGCATAAATTAGCTAAATAAAATAAGACAAGTGAAGTGAAAAGGGGAAATATTCCTAATCTGGGACCACATGAGTTTAGACAAACAAAAAACACAAAACCATGCTCCTGCCTCACCTTCCTCCCACAACAGTATCCCAGGCCCTGCATGACGGGATCGATCTCCGACTCGAACACCTCTGCCAGCTTGGAGCAGTACTTGTAGACGCGGGAGGTCTTGCGGTTGTACAGCCAGGCGTTGTTGAACATCAGCCAGATGTCCTCCACGTACTGCCAGGGCTCTTGGTACTGTCCCGTGTCCAGCTTCCGCTTGATGGTCGACAGGTCCATGGGGTTCTTCACGATGTCAAAGTAGTCCTGATTGGGGAAGGGCGCCGTCCAGATTAGAGTGGCAGGCCGAGGTAAAGTTCAGAAGAGAGGGCAGCGAGACAGTAGGGGGGGGGGGTTTAGTCGTCCGAGGGGCCGAGGTGGGGAAGAAGAGTATCATCATCATCAAGTGAAGGTGTGACGAAGGCGTCGTAGTCAACCAGGTGGGACCAGAGTAGGGAGAGAAGAGGGTGCAGGGGGACAATGTTGTTGAGCGCTGCAGAAAAGAAGGTTTGCGTGCAAACAGAGAGACATGACAACTTCTGCCCTCCAGCTCTCTGCTTTGCACCCTACATTTAATGCCAAGTCCCCGTCTGTACTGCGGACAATGACCGGGCGACCGCCACCAGTCGGTCCGATCATCTGCCGCTCAAAGTTTAAAAAAAAAAAACTAGCTAAAGATGAGACTCTATTTTACGTATCCTGTATCATTATTATATATCAATTTGTCTTAGAAAGTAACTCATTATGTCCAACAGCTGGTGTAACGGTTCTCTGCTGAAAGTCTGAAAGCAAACAAAGCTTTCAGGCCTATAAAAGCAATTAGGGTGCAAAACCAAGAAGAACAGAGCAGTGGCAACTGGCAACAGCAACAGGCAGACAAGAGAGTCACTGTTTTTAGCAACATAGTGGTTGGCAGTAACAACGCCAACAGCATGAGTGGCAATATGATGGCAGAGTTAAAGCCAACGGTGCTGAGGGGAAGCACATGTAAGAGGGACGGGGGAGCATCCAAGTCGGCTCTCTTTTCCCGCCGACTGCCCTCCGCTCATCCTCAAACTAAAAACACCATTTCAGAGAGGAGCGGAACAGAGGGCGAGGGAAAAGAACAGCTTTTTTTTTTGGGGAGATTCAACCACAACAACTAGGAGGTGGTGTGAGTTTCAAAGAGCGGGGTCAGTTAGGAAACAGACCCTCGGTCTCTGAATGAAACCACTCGCGTTAACAAACAAGTGATGCGTATCACGATGTCGACCTACAGTCACACGTACGTCGCCACGCTGCCGCGCTTAGAAACTTACATTTTCACTGAGTGGCTGAGTTTGCATCTGAAAATGAAGTTATTCAATTAAACAAACGGCGGAAAGTTGCATCACTTGACTGTGGAGGTTCCTGTAGAGAGGTGAGCCAATAGCCTGGTGCTCGCTCATCACTGCTCTAAAGATGGCATTATTTTCCCCCAGTTTTTAATACAATAATGATACAGTCTTGTACTGAATCAATTACTCTTTTCCCCCCTAATTTGGATGCAACGAGGGTAAAAAGGTATTGTCCCACCTCTACACACTGCCCACCTGAACACAGACACACTACTACTGGTGAGGAACTGAACTAGAAAGCTAGCAATGGAACACTGGGATGAAAACTACAAAGAAATCATGATTTCAAATTAAAACCTAAAAATTTATGTCAAAAAGCAAAAGTCACACAAATTAAAGTGATAAATGAAAGCAATTGGCTCATGAACTGCTGTTGGAGCTTATAGCAATTTATGTCATTCCTTTGGACTTTGCTCATTAAAATGCAAAGTGATGACAGATCGCAACTATTGTCTCCTTGTTATATTTGGAGTCCTACGAAAGACAAACAGCTACTCATTACTCTGATGGATGCTTGGGTCATGCAATACTGTATCTTTTTTTTTTAGATTATTATATTTGGGGGTCTACAAATCAAGTACATCAATGACAAAGAATGTCAGTTTGGATCATTGACTTATTTGCCCTTCACTTCAGTTCCAGCTGAGTAAAAGGCAAATGTTCATAAGAGTCATTGCTTTGATTTACAAATGACAAGAAGTTTCAAAAAAGAGCACACACACTTTTCACAAATCTCATTTTCTTAACTTCTGACATGCAATGGGAGAAAAATCAACTAAAGAATTAAAGAAAGTGGAAGCAGATGTATAAAACAAATACAAGAAATATGGCACTATGACAAAAGGAGACAAAATATAAAGATGAAAAAGGAAAACAACAAAACAAAAACAAAAAGCTACGTTTTCAGAGGAGTTGAAGCAAAATGGCAGCCAGTGCAGTCCCTTACCAGGTTAGTTTTGTTACTAGTTCGAATACGTACGGGTATTCCCAGTAACTGGGGGTCCACCGGCTGACGGAAGGGAAGGGACTCGGGGTCCTGCCGGTACAAAGCTTCCAGGGTGGGCATCAGAGCCTGACGCAGCTCCTCCGGCTTGAAGACTGGAAAAGACGGGAGCGAGAAAACCAAATGAGGAATGAAAGATTTAGAGCTGGAAGGTAAAAGGAGGAGAGACGATGCAGGAGAACACGTCACCCTTTGCAAGCTTAGCTTGCCAACGGGAAAAATAAGTACACACTGTTTATTCAAAAGATGTATTTGTACTTTCTGCAAAACTTTACTCTTTTAGGAGAAGTTTCAACTCCGACAGAGGAGGTTTAATACAATTTGATGGAGCAAGACAGTAATGACTCTCCGTTGCCTGAAATGTCAGCGCAGTCAAGTTGTCTTGCTATTGGTCAATGAGTTGGTACTTGAGTACACCTTTTGGCTGCTCTACCCACCCACTGATGTTCAGGTAATTACAGCTGTTCCAAACTTACTTTTCTTCTTGCTCTGAGCACTGGCTGGGGAGCTGCTGTTGGCTGATGACGAGTCCTCTTCCTCTTTGGGCTCTTTCTTCACCTCCGGCTTCTTGTCTTCGCCCGTTGCTACGGATGACGACGCCGAGAATGAAGACGTGTCCATGGGCTCACCTTTACAGCCATCTCCTGACGGCTTCTCTTTCTTGATCTGGGAGAAAGACTCAAGTGTCAGTACGAGGATTTCCTTATTAATGGGATTCTTGTAAATCTGAATGTAAGATGTCAGAACCGTTATGCCTGGAACTAAGACGAGGAGGACAATCCTACCTCTGGTTTCTCCTCCGTCTTCACGTCATGCTGACCCTTGCCCATCTTGCCCTTGCCCTCTCCTTCGGTGTCAGCCCCTTCGTCCTCCTCTTCCTGCTTCTTCACCTCCATTTTGACATCTTCCTGGCTGGGAGCAGGGCCGTCCTGCAGAGTGCGCTGGGAGCTGGGATTGGCGCTGCTGCTGGTGACCGAGCCTGGAGAGGACACCTGACCATCTGCTGTCAGAGAGAGCTTCGGAGATAGCTGCGGCAAAAAGACGGAGATGGAGAGAGGATTTAGAAATGGCAAGTTAGAATCCACAAGAAAATGTTTGATCATCTAATTCTTTCTCAAACTCATTGCAATATTTAAAAGAAAGTGAAGTATGTTTTTTTTTAAAGCATAAACTTTCCCTGACTTTTCACTTTTCCATCATACATTTTTTATTTAATCTGTATGTGTTTTCTTATTCTCTGCGAGTACAAGGGAACTAGAGAAAACCTAGACTTGCAAGTAGAGCAGGAAGCTCTGGAGTATCTCTGAATAAGGCTTAAAAGTGGTTTAAGCAGGGTGATCTACTCACTGGGGTCTGCGGACATTGCAATGGCACATGAGCATTCTGGGTAGGCACCGAAGAAGCTTGACCTCCCTGGGGGCCGCCAAGCGTCTGCTGTGGAAGCTGAATGGCCTTCTCAGAGTTCACCGCCTGCCCCGACGGCTTCTGCTGGTGTGAAGCTTGTTGCTGCTGTTGCGAACCTTGTTGCGAAGCTTGTTGCTGCTGTTGCGAACCTTGTTGCGAAGCTTGCTGCTGCTGCTTTTGTGAAGCTTGCTGCTGCTGCTTTTGTGAAGCTTGCTGCTGCTGCTTTTGTGAAGCTTGCTGCTGCTGCTGTTGTTGTTGTTGTTGTTGTTGTTGCTGCTGCTGCTGCTGCTGCTTCTGCTGCTGTTGCTGCTTCTGCTGCTGCAGTTGTTGTTGCAGCAGTTGTTGTTGGTGCTGCTGCTGCTGCTGCAGTTGTTGTTGTTGTTGTTGTTGGTGGTGGTGGTGTTGCTGTTGTTGCTGTTGCTGTTGCTGTTGGTGGTGTTGCTGCTGCTGCTGTTGCTGCTGCTGCTGCGTGTTGGGAGTCTGTGGCTGTGGGGTCTGAGATCGAGGTAACGTTGGGGGTGTTTGATGCGGTTGAGGCGTTAGGCTGCGTGCCGGTGAAGGGGAGTTTGTTCGGATGGGTGGGCAGTGAGGGTAAGAGTTGGACTGGGTGGGGGTCGAGGATGGAGGCAGGTTGGGTAGAGGCCCAGCACCACTGGCACTACCAGACCCCATGGGGCCGACAGAGGTAGCGGAGCCTGGAGCAGAAGAGGCAGACTGTGCTGCAGGGCTGCTGGCTGGGAGCGAGGGCGGCGTCGACATCTGGTTCTGCTACAGAGGACAGGACACAGAGGTTAGAAATCTTTATCGAAACTTTGGATGGAGTATGGGAGAAACAACGAGGAGCAACATTGGTCTGACTAACTATAGCAAAAGGTTTTGCCAGGTACACAACTCTGGAACTTCTGAGTCACAACACTTTATTTCCAATCGGTCTCTCTGTAAGCTATAAAATGAATTCATTAAATAGGGAAGACTGCCAAAAAGCACAAATAATCAGACTTAAAACTCACAGCGCTCATGAAATATGTGCCAAAATCCTGAAGACAGTTCAGTTAATTATACAGTATTCATCACTATCTATGAGAGTCAATGCCTATGTTTGAATTTCACTGCATCACATTCTTTGTCTGCTTTTGCAAAGACCCAAGTTCCCCTTTGCAATCAAACTCATCTTTACGTTACAAGGTACTGTCCCTGTACGCTCACTCACCGGTGGAACAGCACTCTGTGCTCCTGGCTGGTTCATGCCAACAGGACCGGAGCCAAGTCCAGGACTGGACCCAGGAAACTGGCCCGGAGGGAGGTACTGGTTCTGTAACTGTGTGGCGTTGGGCTGACCCATCCTCGCTGCTCCCATACCCATCTGGAAACAAGGCAACAAGGGGCATGTGAATATAAAAGACGTAAAATAAAGTATGGTTAGATTTACTGTTGCATGGCCTTTAAATATTATTTTAATGGAAATGTGAACTTCAATAAATAAATGTGGTTCTTTTTTTCCCTGTTTAAATGACTTTTGTGTACAGCCCAGATTACCCACAATGCCTCGGTTAAGAGAACAACATCTAAACCTTTAGGAGGCCCGAGTATCAATTTTAAAAAAACATCATCAATCATCTATGACTTTCAAGCATAAAGTTCACATAACCCCAAAGTATTATCTGCTGGAGATGGTGACAGTGACACCGACCTGATTCATTGGAGCATTATGAGGAAGAGGAGACCTCTGACCCATCGACTGCATCCCCATCTGACTAAACTGGTTCATTCCTAGAAGTGGAGGAGGACAGAAAAGGAGAGGTAAGGAGGTGCGTTCCTAGGAGGGCCGTCTTATTCTACAGTTTGAACGTTGGACAAAAAGAATGTCCGATCAGATTTTTTGGAATTCAAGGAGGCATAATAATTGTGAATTAAGGTAAGCCTGCTTGCTGACTTTGTAAAACGCAACTGGCATACAGTAACGTTAGAAAACAAACAAACATGGTCAGTCAGACAGGTCTTCACTTTACTCGTAAGCGTAAACTGCGGGCTGTAGCGTGGCTAGCAGGCTGACAACAGAATCACAGAGACGAACACTTGTCATTACTCTCGACTAATGTCCTTGCATTCACTGCAGTGTCCTTCTGTCTCCGACACTTGTATATCATTTCGGTATTCATTTCCATTCATATAAAATAGGATATATACAATAAGCGTTTGCTGTTTTTTTTTTTTATGAGTGGCGGCGAGTAGGTCTCACATTGAAAGGAATTGGGTGCAAAATCCAGTTTACCGCAGCTACGATGTATTTTAGGACCCGCAACATGGGTGGGTACAAATATATTGAAACAAATGACATGTTAGGACAGATTTGTCTTAAGCCTTTTGGAAAATATGGCTGCCCTGGTTCAAGGTGTGTTGAGGACCACATCACACCATGCTGTCAGCAGTTTACAGAGGGACTATTTTCCGCAGTAGAAAGTAGATCAAACAAAAACTAACTTAAATGCAAAGACGAGATGCTACTCAGATTTTTAAATGCAAGTTATCAAAGCTGTGAAAACCCGCAAAGTCCCATTCGCCTATATTGTTTTGGGGTGGCAGCATAAATCTCTGCATGGCTACATACTAGGGCTGGGCAGTATGATCAAAAATGCATATCACGGTATTTTGTAAGACTGGCGGTTTCACGGTATATCACGGTATTTTTTCCCCCGTGTTAAAGCATTAATTAATTAACACCGAAAAGAACCCGCCAGTCAACCGGCCAGCGAGCGGTGAACAGCTGTTTGTGTGGCGTGTCTTCTGTTCCGTTACTTCCTGTTTCCTTCACCTACATTCCCCTGGGTCCTAAACCCCTCCAAGTACAGCTTCTTATCACCCTCTATGTACCAACGTACATTTATAACAAATACCACGCATATTACACGGTAATCAGCGTTGCATATGTGTCTGACCAAAATACCTTTTGTTGTTCAGTCTTTGTTCATCCTGCTCTTTTCTGTTCTTCAATGTAACGTTACTGGCGCGACAGAGCCTCTCCCAGCTATTAGCAGACTGTTGTTAGCGAGCTATACCCAGCATGCAGTTCGGCGGAGAAATTTTATAAATGTACAATTATTAGTGTTACAAATTGTTTGTGTCACAAACTGTTGTGTCGTGGTGTTTTACTCTGTTAAAGAGCGTTAGTTGTGGGTTGTTATTTGTTGTTCTAAAGTTATGACCATGACTAGGGTTCCCTCTCAATACACTTTAGTCAACTAGCTCCGACCGCAGCGCTTTCAGCGGCGAACAATATATTTTGCTGCCTGTTGAAGAGCGACAGAAGTCGTTTCGGCTGTGCACGACGGTATATTCATATCATACGAGAAATTAAAACCGGTATACCGCCTACCACTACTACATACCACTAGTGAGAAATAAACATTTGCTCATAAATATCAACGAGGAGTGCTTTTAAGCCAAATCTACTGCAACCGATAGGCCGTCCTATACACTCTATTAATCATTTTGTATTTGTATCAACCTTTGATCTGGCCTCATTATTTAAAATGCATTTCTCCAAGTCTGGCTGCCTTTGTAATAATGTCATTTACACTAACTAGAGATGTACCTGCTGGGTTCTGCATCCTGTTGACCATCTGATTGGGTCCAGTTGGTCGGACCATGGACGGATCGGCGTGAGGACCATCTGACCGGGTGAGAAGAGTTACAGGAATCACAAAAACCAGATAAGACAAGTGGGGTAGCAATGTGCTTGATCTCTTTTTACTCTTCAAAACCCATTGTTTGTCCATGATGGGTGTGCGTATCAAGTATATAGACACATGTCAGGGACACGGCGGATCAAAAAGCTGAGCTATTACTTGTATGCGTTTCTACGTACACACAGAAGTGTGCGAGGGAGGTAAAAGCGGTACGTTTACTTACTTGGGGGTTGACCGGGGCCCATGGGCGGCTGTCCCATGCTGGGAAGCTGTCCCATGCTAGGGAGCTGTCCCATGCTGGGTAGCTGTCCCATGCTGGGTAGCTGTCCCATGCTGGGTAGCTGTCCCATGCTGGGTAGCTGTCCCATGCTGGGGGGCACCTGCGGGAGGCCTGGAGAGGCTATGCCAGGTTGGCCGGGCATCATGCCCTGCTTCTGGAGTCGTGTCCTTCTCTTTTCCTCCAGCTCCTTTTGGATCTTGTAGATCTTCTCTGCCAGCAGATGGTAGTATTCCGCCTAGAAAGGATAACGTCACGAGTGGGAGAGGATGTTACAGGAGGATACATCGCGACGGTGCAAAAAAAAAAATGCTTTGTATTTCCTCCTCCCTTAACTGGAAACCGATGGTCATACCACATTATTCTGGGCGCACTGGTTTCTTACCCTACTGTTGGCCGACTCGTACATGTCTCCCTCTACTTTTCGAGCGTAGGCCACCAGATTCTCCATCCGCCGGTCCTTCAGGGCCGCTGGATCAGGAGTGGGGAAGATTGCCTGCACACTACTCTCACACATGCACAAACAAGAAGGACACACAGGTACAATTAACTTGAGGAAAGAGACACCCAGCACTGAACTGAAGATGATCTGATACCACCATCTACGCTGCACATATCTGATCAATAGTGAACAAACCGTATTCATACCACACCTCTAGCTGTTAATGCTATACATCATTTCTTACTATAATTTCTAGTGCTACCCTGCTCTACATATATTCTTACTTATACCTGCACTGCATACTGTAACTGCTGCATGTTTCATACTGCTCATAACGTATACATGTAGTGTATTTATATCCCCGACTGTTTATTCCACATTCTATTTATTGTATATTTTATTCTGTATGTACATATGTACATGAATAAAGTTGTTCACCTCTGGTTAGAAGCTTAACTGCACTTCTTTGTCTCGGTTTGTGTTGTATGTGCAGTGATAATAAAGTTTAATCCCATTTGAATCTACTCTGACATTTAAATGAGTATATTTCTTTAGCTCTGGGCCATAGCAAGACGTCTTGGGGGGGCCCTACAAGACATAGCAAACTCACAGCTTGTGGACAAGGTGGTTGCGGAGGTCCTGCGTGATGTCTTCATGCCAAGACTTCCTCATGCCTGCAGCAGAAGGAGGAGTTGCCGTGGGCATGGAGCCCAGGTTCCCGAGACCATCATTCATCAAACTGGACAAAAAAAAAAAAAAAGACAGACAAGGAGGAAAGGAAGAAGTGAGACTTCAGCCAATACGGGACTCATTTTGACTTTCTTAAAGTCTGTTATGTGACGGCAGCATGACCAATGAAAAGCAGTCCTACCTCTGTGCGTTCATGCTGCCGTGCAACAGGGAGTTTGGCAGCAGACCGGACTGCTGGTTGGGCGACTGCACCCCGACTCCACCATTCACTCCCATAGAGTTCCCACCTGGAAAGAGTTGAAGTTATAGAGTTTGAAGGATATGATGTGGATTGGTCAATGCTGACAACAATATCTTGAGCGAACATAAGATGCATCTTCAGATCATTTTCAAGCCAAAGAAGTAAAGTGATTTAAAGACAGCTGGAGATTATCTTCCCGAGCATGACAGTGAAACCTGTCCAGTGAAATATAAATCAAAGTTTTGTGACACAGTCATCGACCATGAGTCAGTGCACAGCTGGAAGAGATCAAGGAGGCCATTCACTGCTGACGCCAAAGATCATACAGCCTAAACCTAATCCTGTTATCACTTTACTTAAGTCCCACACGGACGCCTGAGTCAGCCCCATTCACTGATGAAAAAAAACACATGAGATGGCCGTTAAAGCTCCCAAACATCTGCACACCTTTGATTTGAGACTATCTTGTTGTCATCAAGATCAAGAATGAACATCCATGGATTGTCCTTTATAGTTTGAGATACGCACAATGGCATTAGAAACTAACCCATGGTGTTGAGGCTCCTCATCCCAGGCTGACCCTGCAGCCCCTGGTTGGACATGTTGGCCTGTGACGTCTGCTGTGGTATCTGGTTGCCCTGGTAAGTGAGGCCCAGTGCGGCGTAGGCCCTCTCTATGGAGCTGGGGTCAATCTGGTTGGGAGGGTTCAGGTTTGGAGCGTTGGACTGTCCACCAGGAACCCCCGAGCCTAAAGAGTTCACCAAGCCGACTCCTGCACTGTTAACAAGAGCTGTGAAGAGAACGGAAGAGGCAGGAGAGGGTTGATAGGGGAGAGAAAGAGGTAACAGAGGATGAACATCTGTGAGGACGAACACATTTCATGGTAGATAATGTGCAATAATTCAAATGATAAGAGACAAGATCGTGTTTACTGCTCAGAGATACACCCACACACACATACACACACAGCCACAGAGTGAGAAACACTCACACTGCTGATTCCGCTTGTCTCCAGCGTTTTTCAGTGGCAGGCATACAGGACAGTCATGTCGTGTGCAATTCTTCCAATGAGAGATGATCTGTCTGGATGAGGCACAGTGTGCCACTGGGGGGAGAAGACACAGAAATGGAGAGAAGTGTGAGAAAAGGAAAGAGACGTGGAAAAGAGAGAAGAGGGACAGAGAGGGAGAACAAGTAAAATGAGAAATGGTGACAGGGTGAAGGAGGGAGATGAATAATGAGACAAGAAAAGGATGAGAGAAAAGGGGAAAGCCCTCAGAGTCAAAAGGAAGAGAGAGAAGCCAGAGACTAAAGTTATTGTATGAGTCATTCAGTCAAATAAAACTACATCCAGATGAGAGACGGAAAAAAGGAAGAGTTACAGTAGAGGCAGAGTTACAGGCAGCTAAAGAGAGGATAACTCATTCTGATATGACGAGAAAAAACGAGAGGCAAACCAAGAGGGAAATAAACAACGCACAAAAAATGAATTGCAGATACATGACAACTTTAAACACCGCCTAGTGTTTATTATACAAACCACACAACATAAAACCAGCAATCAGCATAATTCAACAGACTCACCCTGGCAGGACTTGCCAGCCTGGCAGTGAGTCATGTGGTTGAGCACGTTCTTCATGGTGCGGCAGTGAGGCAGGTTGCACTGCCGCACTTCGCCATTGGCCTGCTCCCTCCGCTGGCACTTGTGTGCGTGGAGCAAAAGGACCAACTGCTGCTGAATCAGCTTCCGCTTCTCGGGGTCCGCCGTAGGGGGCGCTGAGCCGGGACCAGCCCCGACGGCACCGAGCCCAACCTGGGCACCTCCCACTGCCGCCGCTCCACCGACGGATACGCCGCCTACTGCTCCAGGCTGCTGCTGCTGCTGCTGAGAGGCCTTGAGACAGGGAGGAGAGAGGAGGCGCGTTAACAAGACTGCAATGATCGGGTGTTGCACCGCTTACGGTGACCAATTTGGTAAGAGCTTGGCAGCTAACACATCAATTCAATGATCATGTTTAACAAACGGTGCAACATTGTTAGAGACACTTACACCATACAGTTTACAGACTCACACAGGGAAGTTAACCACCTTCAGTGACTCACAGCGATCTGACAGTGAAGTTCTGGGGGCATTTGGTTAATCTCACTTCAAAAGGGTTCATTTCTCTGAGGTAGGTAAGAATATTGTAATGGTGAACTGAGCTTCGTCAGTCCGGGCTGCTTCCCCTTTGAGACGACTGTGAGTTTGTCTAAAACATCTGTAAGATCATTTGCATTATTAGGCTGCCAGTTATTAATGTCTCAAACATCAAGTTCAGATTTGTCTGTAAAAATGAAAATGGTATGTAGCCAAATAAACCATCATCCATAGACTCCTTAAAGGGGATAAGAAAATATGATGCACTAGTCCGACCTGGAGAAAAAGCTGTTTTGTAGAAAGAAACCTGATGACCAATGATAACCTGATCTGTAGCCTCCCACAACCCTTCAGGCGGGAATAACACCGTGAACCTCATGCAAAACATTTTCCAATTCTTATCCTAAAATGCAGGTGTTCCATGTCAGATTAACCACACTTTCTTAACGAAGCAACACTTGTCATAAATCTCTTGTTTCAACTTGATGAATGCCACCGGCTCAAGAGTATGTCTGTGTTCCTGAGATCTGAGATCTGATCATAAGCATCAACAACTCCCCGAAGCCGCTTTATATGCTACCTGTTCTAATCCGTTTGTGGAGAAGTTTAATTCACAAAAACGTTACGAAATGGCAAAAAATAAGAATTTCACACAAATGTATCCGTGTGACTGACACAAGGGACTCAAAACAAATGACTAAAGAGTTGTAACGGAAATGAAGAGGGTCTGAGACTTAGAAGAGAGGCGTCGGGTGCAACGGAGGCTGTTCACTTAGACAGCAACTCGAATTGAGTCCCTGGTGTCGTGCCAAAATAATACTGCATTTACACGACTTGTGGTTAACAAGGCGTGCATGGCATGTTGCCAGATTACATCTAAAGGCCACAGGGAAAGAAAGAGAAGTTCATATCCTGCCTGGTTTTACACCTTGACACGCGCGTCTAACCACTGTGTGAAGCGGGCGGGATTGTAAACAAATCGCTGGGCTCCGTTCATTGTTGGTTTGGAGCTTTTGACGGTAAGTCACCACACTAATACTCTAACCCAAGAACTGGACTTTTATTGAAGTGGGACTTTAGTGGTTACTGACAACTACAATGACATGAATGACTCCGACACAAAATGCTTTTGAGACACATTTCTGAGCAGAAAATGTTACGGTACGTCCAAAGTTATAACTCTGATCTGGTTCCAGTGAGGACGAATGAAAGAATGAACACATCTTACCATCCCAGGCATGCCTTGACCCGGTGGGGCCTTCTTGTCCATGCTGAACTGGGCGGCCATGTTATTGGGCAGGCCCGCCTTGTTCTGGAGCTGTGGGCCCAGCCCTGCTCCAGGGAGCCCCTGGCCAGACTGGCCGTACGGACCACCATAGGGGCCCGCGTTGGCCATCATATTCATCTAGGGAGCGGGTACGGAGACAAGGAGGAGAGAGGGAAATTCATAGTTTAAACATCAAATCGAGTACTCTTCATGGCCTATGAAGGAAATACAGGAAGTATCAAAATCTATACTACTTATATGACTTTAAAAACTACAAAACCTACATACGTATCCAACTACTTTGGACACACAGTTCCACTTCGATAGGGAAACAACATGGAATCACTTTTTAAATATTACTTTTAATCATTCCTTCATAATGAGCTCTCATTGTGACTGTTCGGTTACAATATTACTTCCCCCTGACCTCACTTTATTCTCTACGGTAAATCAATACCAAAGACGCATCTAAATGGCCTCAGATCCAGCCTACAGGATTTTCTTCTACTTCTGTTTTGGGCCAAACTTTTCTTTATTTCAACAGCAGCGCTGCACTAATGTGAAGGGATTTGTTGCTATGTGACTAATAGAGAGCAATGAAACTGTTGATGCCTGTATCTGAGAAAATAACTGCAGAGTTTCCTCTGCATTGAACATGGACAACACAAACACTTTACTGATGCATATTTTAACATGGAACATTCCTAACAAAGGTCCTGTGTTTGCTGGTGCACCAGAAGAGACTTTTGCAGTATTGCCTTCACACCTTCGATCATAACTATCCTGTGGCAAATTGACAAAGCGATGTGGTTAACCGTCAATACCACAGAGCGAGCAGCGATGCGGCTGTGAGTCCGACACATAACCGCACTCACTCCTGCTCTGGAGAACTCGTCTTCAGCAGTCTCACACGAGCAACTACAACAGGTCTGGTTCAGTCTACAGCGTCACTCGGGTCTGAAAAGATGCGTCCGCCTTTTGTGTTTTGAACTTAAACATATTGTTTAACTACAAAAACTCAAGTGTAAATAGCAGGAATCTTCCTTTTTTTAAATGACTTTACCAAACTCAAGAAATGCCATCCAGACTAATCACAGATCCAGCAAATGTATATTCTTATACATATGAAGCAGTGTGGCTGTAACTGGCAAATCTCAGTAATAATCTCGGATGTGTGTTCCCACTACTCTGGCGGCCATGGTAGAGCTATGACATACTGACCGTATATTAAAACCCCATTTTTGTGTAAATATTAACATAATACCTTTGAATTCACCACAACATTATTTGATGTAAAAGAAAGTCGTTTTATATTTGAAGAGAACTACGTGCAGGTGTGGGATTCATTAGGGAACCAAAAACACACTTTGTTTAGAACATCTTATTCTCAGTTTAAATCTTTGATATACCACATTTGATAATTTGCTATAACATAGTTGCTACTGACCGTATCCTGGGTTGAGATTGCTTACCTTGTTCAGTGCTCCGGGTTGTTGTGGTCTCATCCCTGCCTGACCCCCGTGTCCCATTTGCTGACTGCCCTGCTGCAGGGTTTCCGCCAACAGATTGCTGCTGTTACCCATGCCCGCACTGCCAGGGTAACCCATTCTCGGCGAGCCATTCATCACCTGGCCCCCCATCAGGCCCTGCTGTTGCTGTCCAGTGTTGCCCTTCTGGGCACCCATCATGGCAGCTGCCCGATTGAGTGCTGCCACCCCTCCAACCATCCCAACCTGCTGCATTAATCCAGGTTGCTGCTGCTGCTGGCCTTGGGGGGGCATGCCTTGAGGTCCACCAGGGGAGACGCCGACACCCCCCATCATCCCCATGGAAGCCCCGGGCACTGCGCTATTGGAAGTGGGGCCACCCTGCTGTGCTGGAGCTCCTGTGCGCAAGAGCTCAGACAGCTGTTTGTGTTTCGTGGCTGCATCCTGGCCTCCCAAACCAAGCCCTCCCCCGAGTCCACCCAGACTGGTGTGGAGTTGGCTGACATCCCCTCCGTTGGTCAGACCCAGGTCCGAGGAACTGATGAGCTCATCTGGGAGGTCATGCTCCAGGTCAAAGAGCGAACCAAAATCTAAGCAGGAAAGAAAAGACCCCAAAAACATGTATCAACTAGAAAAATGTAGATACGATTCACAGCTCACACTACACACAGCCACAATTGTTCAAGACAAATTTAAGAGTGTTACAACGCTGACATTAGTTTGAAATCTATCTGCCATTAATCTGGAGCCCAAAGCTGGACAGCCGGTGCAGCAGGAGCTTCCTCTCACCGCCGGGATTTCTCTCCTGGGCATCAGTTTGTGGTTTGATGGGGTGCCAAACATGGAGAGTGAACGCAGTAGGGTCAGGGCGAGAAGCCGCAGGAGTAAACACTACAGTACCTAGGTAGGTGTGTGCATTGGATCTATCTACCGTCATGTGGCGTAAGAACATGAAACAGAAGAGGTATCACAAGTCTTATCCACTGCAATGGGAGGCACGTTAAAGGGAAAGTTGTCTGAGAGCATACTGAAATATATGTAAATCAATATAAAAAATAGGCAGTGCTCGTAGTTGTCCCTTCAGTTCGCCTGAATGTTATGTTTGATGTTATTTATGGTGGCCTCTAACGGGTCAACATCTCACTGAATAATCAATGCTAGTGTTGATATGTTGTGCCAGTGATTTTCACATCATGCATTACGAGTTCAGATACTTTAGAAATTAAATATGCATCAAGCTTGAAATTCACTTATCTTCTGACACGGTTGGAGAGCCGGTGGTATGGCCACCAATCTTTGCACAGTTGACATAAATACTATTACATTTTTTTGTATTATAAGAAATACTTATTATGCTACACATATTGATTCATGGGTATTAATTGAAACAGCTTCAACTAAATATCTAAATCCTCATGGTTCTCTATGTGTCTCGATACAAGAGGAGGTGATGCCAAGAGTCTAGAGTTTGTTGCTCAATACGTGTAAAAGAATTCGTCTGCAATAAAAGGTTAATTCACAATGAAGGGACGTGCATAGGGTAACGTGAAGCGTTGAGCCATTTTGAAAAGCAAACTGCAAAAAGTGCGGCGCGGTGTCACCGTGCAGTCCATCAATGGTGGCTTCACAAGAATTTCATCAATGTAGTACCACCGAGAAACTAAAAGTCTCTGAACAAAAAAGAATTTAAAGAAGACGTTTCGGAGACGTCGGCCGATTTTGTTCTTTCATGTCAACGTTACAACCCAGTCGAAATTGACGCACGGCAACGTCTTCAGCCGGGCAACAACGCGTTTCGCAACTTTAATGAAGTGTCGAACAATAGCTAGCCGTTACAATAGACCACTGAAACACAGAGTCGGCTAACAACACGTGAAGCACACGGAATTAAAAACCTCAAAGGGTTTTATTGCAACTGCAGAATGAGTTCGTACCCACGAAAAAAATGTTACTTTCGTGCACGATGAGGTGGAGCTGGTTAACAATCACTTAATTGATTTGCTAGCCAGCTATCGAGCTCAGCTGAGCCGGTTATCGTCCTAGCTAGTTAGCTAGCTCGCTCGGTTACCGTTACTTTCTCCTAAAGCTACTCTGTAAACGGTGCTTTGTCTCCACGTTCACGGAGTATTCACGACGCTCGTTGTTTAATGTGTACGCGCTCTCGTGCTTTCATTTAGTTAACTTTGGTAGTAGCGAGACAACTTAAAGCAAACTGGGGTGACTCGACTCTTCCATTGTTTGGAGGTGGATCTCATAGTTAGAAGCTAGTTAGCCTGTTGAGGCTAACGCATCAAAACATCCCTCCAGGAAAGTTGCTCCTGCCAGCAGCAACACATCGCGTTCTCTCTCCAGCAACACAAAGCATCAGACTACTTTAAAATAAAGCGACAAATATATGTTCACAGTTAAGTTCACAAGCATTGATTTAGTTGAGGTGTAGCTGTCTCAGAGCAACTAAGTTGCTGTGCAACTCCACAGGGACTTCAAAGCCAGACCAGTAGTTAACGCACCAACAGTCGAAGCAACTTGGTATTTTATCTCCATCTTAAGTAAAGCATGCAATATATTTACCGTTTCCATCACTGGCAGACACCGAGAGAGCCGGAGAGGACAGCTTGGGCCTCTTGGCTGAAGGCGGGCCGGAGTCCAGGACATTATCGGCCATATTTTTGACGAATTAAAAAAAAAAAAATTGATGTAGATTCCACGGAGGGAAAACGTATTTCCTTTATCGTCTCCTTCTCCCTTTAAGACACGCTCGTGGTCGTTCCCCCACCGCTCGGGGGACGGTAGGGGAGAAGAGATGTAGAGCTCTGTCCCTCAGAGTCTCTCTCGGGTTAGTCTCTAGATATCAGACCCCCTCCCCTGTCGGAGACTTAGTTTCTTCACAGATTTGAACAGGAGGAGGTGGGAAGGTGGAGTCGGCGAAAAGGGCAAAGCGTGCGGCCCTCTTGACAACCTCATGCAGCCTCTTCTTCTGCGACACAAAAACTGTCCCGAGATCCGTCCTCCGTGCTGCACTCGGACCTGTCCGCCATAGTCGGCGGAGAAAATCCCCGTATTTCACGTCTGAACCGATTCCAGCGGAGAGTCTCTCGGTCAGGGATCAACGGGGAAAATGATAAATCTGGTCCAGAAACACAAACCAGGAGTGTCCCCGTGTTCACTTCTCTCATGCAACAGTTACGAGAGATTCGTTCCTCTCACCTGACCAGACATCTCACTGATGTCAACGACTCCTTCACGTTATCCAGACCGAGGAGGCGGTCACCCGGTGAGTGGAGACCACCAGCAGGAGTCCTCGGTACAATTAAAGCGTGAGTGGTACTCTCGAGTGCAATACATAGAGGGGGGAAAAAACAACTTGCATTGGCTTAACAGTCAGTGGATAAATAGTTTAACATCTCTGCAGAAAGATGAAAACACCGGATCGAGTCCCACACTTTGCAGTTACTCAGATACAATGAACATATATTGCGGATGTGTGGATCCATGCATGACTTTTCTTTGCATGCTGACTATAATTTGCACTTAGTGTGTGACCATGCAAGGCACTGGGTCAGAAAGAACAGACTCGTATTTTTGCACATTTGGTTGTTGCAGCCCCCTTTTCGCGCGAGCACGCCTCTCGCGGTCGGCAGGATCGGAAAAGGTTGAAAATAGAAGAAGAAAAAAAAAAAAAGTCTCGTCAAAAATCGCTGCTCTTGTGCAATCGATTCGGATGCAGGCTTTATCTGACGGTATACTTCTTGAGGGCAATAACAGCGCTAATTGCCAATCAGCGGGGCAGTCAAGATTGATGCAATTAGTTTTATTTTGCAGAGGACGATCTGTGGGGTTACTTATGTTCTGCTCCACGAGAGGGTCCTCCCACGGGTTTCTTGAAATCTCAGATGATGAAAAGAATGATGCATATTAAAAAAATAAAAAAAGACTCGTTACTCACTGCTTATGTGATGTCTTGGCCATGCCGGGGAAGACGAAAAAAAGAGACGTTAAGCAAAAACCGGAGCACAGCCACAGGGCGACAGAAGAAAATGCGATTTAAAAAAAAAAAAAATATGACGGTGGGTCGCTGAGAAATGATGGCTATTTCGGAAGCGGAAAGCTTCTGATCGGCACACTAATATTGACCCCCCCCCCCCCCCCCTTTTAAAATAATTTGGGCTGACAAAATCCTCTCATTGACTCTTTGTGATGGAGAATGCCCCCCTTCGTGTTGATCCTGGCAATTTCCCCCTTCTTCTCTTTAAACCCGTCTTTCTTTCCACCTCTCCCTTCTGCCCGGCAGCAATTTATTTATATAATTGTCTATGCGGATTCTTTCCTTCCTCCGCGACGGACACATAGTGATTTTTCATGTTGATGTTTTCCCCCTTTTTCGCAGGTTTCTCGTCGTTACGAGCACACAGAGCCCTCTTCCGCCTCTCCTCCGTCTCCGCTCCGCAAAAACACCCCCTTCCTTGGATTTTTCGGAGTATTTCCTTCTCATGCATTCATATATAAATATATATATATATATATGTGTGTATATATATATTTATATATATATTTATTTATCACCGACTCGGTTTTCCCTCCACTGCCGTCTTATCTCGTAGGCGATGCTTTCTCTCTCTCGGTAACACGGACAGGATTCCGCCACTCGTTCTTTCTCCGGTGGTTCACGGAGTGGTTGCCGGAGTCGCTCCTTCTCTCGGTTATCTCCTCCTGTTTCTGACGGTCTGTCCGCACAAACAAAATGGCGGCTTGTTGTTTCTACTCCTCTGATACGGGGGGAGGGTTGGAGGTACAGCAACATTAGGCGTGAAGGGGAGGAGGGAGTGAAGGAGAGGGGAGGTTTGTCTTCGTAGGTGTTCGGGATTGTCCGGAAACCGGTTCCGTGCTCTGTCGGCAGCAGCCGATTTCAGTCTGTAGGGGACAGTGGCGCTCCATGTTCTCCTCTCTAATACAGTGGTGGAAAGTAACCCACTACATTTACTCAAGTACTATACGAAGGTACAACTTTGAGGTAGTTGTACTTGAATGTATACATTGTTTGCTACTTGATATTTTTACTCCACATTTTAGTAGGACATGTTATGCTTTTTTCTCCACTACATTTATCTTCAAGCTAAACTAGTTGCTGTGCAGATTATCATTTTTCATTTAAACATCTGATCCACTATTGCAGTGTGATATACTGTTATAATTTAAACAATTCAGCAATTAAAAAGTACAAGACATTTACACAGTGTTTACATGTCAATGCATCGATATAAATACTTCAATAAAGCAACACTTTAAAAGGAGCACTTCTACATGAACTTTCACTTTTACTTTCAATACTTGAAGTACATTTTGCTCAAGTTCAATTTGGAATGCTGGACTTTTACTTGTGATGGAATATTTTTGGTAATGCTATTTTAATCAAGTAACGGGCCTGCATACTTCTTCCACCACTGGTAGCGATTATCAGTACCATTTTTCCTAGCACATTTTTTAAAACTGTTACAATTCTCAAAATATGACACGCAATCATCACCGGTGATGTTATTCAGATCCTTGACCACCGAGTAAAAAAGAACATTACTGACGACTGCATTAAATGTTACTCATGATACAATATGCAAGTATTATCAGCTGAAGTGCAAAATGTACTTTAAGTATCAAAAGTAAAAATAATCAAGTAAGAGGAATGGCCTCCGTGAGTGTTGCTAATGCACTTAGTGTGTCAAGAGTGAATAAACGAGTCAACCGCATCTATCCATTTATTTTGTCCCCGTTAAGTTTTTCCTTATCCGCTGCGAGGGTCCAAGGACAGAGGGTTTTGTGTGCTATACATATTTTAAAGCCCCCTGAGGCAAATTTGTGATATTGGGCTCTAAATATAAAATTGACTTAACATCCCTGACACCAAAATGAGCTAGAAAATATTTTTGTTCATTTCACAAGTTTAACTGCTAAAAAGATGATGATGTGTCCTACTGAAAAGTCAATTTCACAGTATGTGATGTAGCTTCAAGTTTCCACTTCACAGTTGTGCAGCTTCAACCCAACGATTGACGTCCAGACTGGCTGTGATATCAGTCATGTTCACGTCTTCAGCTGGTGTTAGTGGTGAGCACAGAGAAACTTCCCATCTTCAGTAGATCAATGTGAAAACAGCTTTCTGGTGTCAAAACTCTGCACCCTGTAAACCAGGTGAGTCCACCTCTTGAAAAAAGTGCAAACCATTACAACATCAGTGTAAGACTAACTCAATGCATCACCGCGTCAGTTGAAGATTACTTAACATTTGCATTCTATGTGAAAGCAAGAAATGCACACTGTTATGACAAAATTAACTTTGGATTTGATAATTTCAAACATTTATAAAAGTAATTTTCATTCGAGTGTTGTGCCAAAGCAACTGAGAATAAATCAGTTGTCTGATAACACAGTGCAGGTATGACATGACACCTAATAGGGCAAATCAAGTCACATACGAAAATAACCCGTCTTTGTCACTTTGACTTCAGAGCCCCTTTTACACTTAGTTCACACATACAGTAGCTTTTTAAAAAGTATTCACACACTTGTTTGCATATGTTTTTACTGCCTCCAAGTCAGTATTTAATAGATATTTGGCAGCAAATACTGCTTATTTATAGATATTCAGGGACTTAGAAAAGTTCTTGTATCTATCCCAACTTGTGCTTTTTAATCAACTTTTTGTTGCGTTGCTTGGAGGTGAATGTTTTGTCACGATACTGACTCGTTAAAAGACCCGGGTGTATTAATACTATGATCCACTTGACTACACACAGGTGATCTCCATTTAACTAATTATGTGACTTTCAGAGCAGCACACAGGTGTAATTAATAACATTAATTATGGCCCTGTTGCATTTAGGCGGGCCAGGGTCCTGGTGTTGTGCCGGATCACTGGAATGACGAACACACTAAATAGACTGGGACCATAATTCATTCTAAAATCAGTCGTTAATGCTAGATGCTTAACTTGTTTACTTTTAGCCCGTCAGTCATTTCGTGCTGAGCAGGTAGCAGTACAGTCAATTTGTCTGCTGGAAATGGTTGCACACGGTTGTATTTGGGGGGGGTTGGTGAGAGCCACAGCTGGATTATCAACAAGCCAGAGCAGGAAATTGCCCCAAGCCTCTAGAACTCCCACTAGAGTCATTTTATTCAATGCTAATATTTAAAAAGGTATAGCTTAGCACAAGTTTAACTGGAAATGTAGTGTGAAATAAGCCCTGTTGCTTTGGATGCCTGCAGTCTGTGCACTGTTTTACAAGGGTGGTTAAAATGTTGTACGGAAGAATGCTTGAGAAGTCCTGCTAAATAATTTTTATGGACACATGCCAGCCAATCAGAAAGGAGCATTTTGAGGGGCTGTGGTATTAGAACACACTCCAGCTACTAGCCTACATTCTTTAACTTGTTTCTTTGTGTCAGCAAAAAGAAAAAAGGCATGCATTAGCAATGAAAAGGAGAGAAAGAGATCTTTTTAATACACAAACAAAACAAAAAAAGATCACATTTTCTCTGCTTAAAATACATAATTTCAACCGCACCATCACAACACTAGAAGTGTGTAATATACATGATGAAGATTAGTCTCCGTGTGAATGTGCGGTAGCAAACATTGTTGTGGAGGAATACGTCGGCTCCAAAGTAGTATACGTGCGTTAGCTCCAAAGCTACACCGGAACCCCTTAAACAGCTAAACCCACCTTTTACTGTTGAGCTCTTCACCGTCATTCACTGTTGGAAACTACAAAACATGAACCTGGTTTCTTTGAACATTTCGTTCGACAACAAACTAAGATCTCTCCACATTTCATTTTTGAGGCCTTACTGAGACTATATACCAGAGTCTTGCAGTGTGCTCCCACCTTTCACGCACCTGGGCCCCCGAGCCTGATGATGTGGGTTGGAAAAGCACAGCACTCAGCCTGCCATCGATGTCGTGGCTCACTTGTCCGTCTCTCCCTGCCCTATCTCTGGGCGCAGGCCTTCTCTACGTCAGCGATGGTCTTTGGTGCGTCACGGGACAGAATCAGAGGGCTTCCCTTGTCTCGAATCACCACATCGTCCTCAATCCTGACGCCCATGCCGCGGAAACGCTGTGGCACCTGGTCATTGTCCTCGCCGATGTACAACCCTGCGACAACAGGAGGAAAAGTGGAAAACTGATGAAAGCAGGAACAATGTGAAACATGAAAGAGAATGCAGAACAGATCATGTGTAATGAGTGGCTGTTACATGTCCACCACAGTAACTGAGACGGATGCAGTTCGGATTTTTAAAACCCTGATCTCACCCAGACTCATGATTAGCCACAGCTGCACATCATGAGGGGAAAAACAAAAGAGTAACGGGTATTCAAAATACCTGGTTCTATAGTGATCGCCATTCCTGGCTGTAGAGGTTGCGAGCGGGACAGCTCAGGAGTGTCGTGGACATCCATGCCCAGGTAATGCCCAACGTGGTGGGGGCAGTACCGTCGTGCAACCTGGAATAAGCAGAATTAAAGCTTTAAGCAGTTGTATAGAAGTTTGCAGTTGTCCCAGAGCAGCCAAACATTATCGACATGGAATTTAGGTGCCACTGACTGCGGCTTACTGTGGTGAATGAGCCTCATCTGATCACTTTCTACCTACTCAACTGTATCCAGGGGCATCTAAACAACTAAATTAAAGGTGAACACAAATCCCAACATGCAATTCTGACAAAATCCTTCAAATGGGAAATCAGTGCACACATAAATGTGATGTTATCAAAAAAGCATTTTAGCATTTGAAATAAAACATTTTTTAATTCCAAATGTAGGCCCTAATGTTGAAACCACAGCTCACTGCTCTTTTTTGGCAAAAATGCAGAAAGTAGGATTTGCCGTTTATTCCGTAAGCCTTATTAAGAAGCACTGCTTCCCAGGCTGTTGACCACTATGCTCAAAACATTTGAATGCCTCATGGGTGTAAAATCAAACAGATGTTCAAACAGATGTTCGATGCTAGATAACTACTAGCTTCATATGTCTTCATTTGACTTGATTTAATGACATCAACCTCTCCATTAGCATCTGTTATGAGCGATGAGGTCAAGTGTATCACGTACTGAACGTAGGTCTACATGGTCAAGAGTCTACAGCAATGCTAAACATGCTGATGTTTACAGATATAAAGATTTCCATGTTCACCATCTTAGTTTACAGTGTTAGCATGCGCTAATTAGCACTAAATACAAAGTACAGTTGAGGGAGGCTGATGGGAATTGAATTGTTTTAGCATGAACGGAATGGAAGGACACTATATGAAAAGTTAAGAGATCATCAAAGTTATTATAATTCATCCTGATGGGGACATGTATCAGACAATCATGAATATCTGTTCAAACGTTAGTGCCAATCCATCTTGTAGATGTTAAGATACTTCTCAGGGTGAGTGAAACTGTAGACCTGTTCGTGGCAGCAGAGGATCAGAAGGATTCATCCTCTGGGGACCATCAGTATCTGTACAATCATGGCAATATGCCCAACACATCCAATATTTGACCAAAGTGGTAGACCAACTGACCAACTAGAGCTAGCGTGGCCAAAAGAATATTTACGCGAGATGGCCGATAACTATGAGCCCGGCTTGTATGAAGGTCTCTCACTGGGAACATCATCATCAATCAGTCAGCCAATGCAGAAGCCAACAAGGGTTTTTATTTTTTTGAAAGGGAAACCACTTGAGTAAATCTACATTCAATTTTGGTTTGGCTCGCTTGTTTTATTTCCCAGCAAAGAGCCACTGCAGGAAAGTAATAATAATAGATTCCTCTGTTGTACAAAGTTTACAGAGCGTACTGTGTTTCATGGAGGCTGTAATGAGGTCATTTCATCATTTACATTGGCCAAAAGGAGCTTATTGCTATTTCCTGACCACAAACCACTAGTGAGGACCTAAATAAACCAAACATGTTTGAATTCAATGCCCTGAGGTGATAATCTGATGGTGCCATGACCAACCTCTGGTGGAGAAGATTGATATCCAGCAGCAGGGCACGATTATAATTGACATTAGCAATATAGAAATATAAAACACTGTAAGAGCCTGTGCCTGTAAGCAAAAACACAAGTTAATAGAGTGGAATATGATCTCGGGCTTCATTATTTATCAAAGACTCTTTGTTCCTTTTAACTTAAGGAGCAGCTGAATATTTGGATCTGGGAAACGTAACTTTCTTGTACAGTAAATAATTTGCAGCTCATCTTGAGAAATGTTGTTACTGGCAGCAACTTTGTTTTTCCCAAAAAGCCAAGAGCTGCTTATTTGTTTTCATGGAATTGCTCCTCATGCGGGCCAAAGCTGGGGAACGTCTACCAGCTGGAGCCCATTCTACTTCTACTTCTCTCATTATTACCTTTAGTACATCCGCATCACTGGTGCTGGCGTGGACGATGCCTAGCCGGAGGAGCTGTCGTCCCAACAGAGCCAGCATGGTGCTGTAGATGTGATCCAGACTGACGCCCGGGGAGCACAGAGACAAGCAGGAGCGCTGGACCTCCAGCACGGCCTCGTACAGCTCCGCCTGGGCCGGGCTGAATCTGGTATGAGATACGAGTTATTGTCTGCCATTTTCAATAATCATCAAAAACACCTACTTAAAAAAGGCCCTAAAATCTAGAGACATTGGAGATTAAACAAAAAAAATCATGTATAAAGCTAATAAGACATTATACTTCCTGAAAATATCTACATTTAATGAGCAAAAGATGTTTCTACATTCAAATGCACAGATTCTATAACTTTTGTTGCACAATTTACTGCTTAAGATTATTCTGTCAAACTTACTTTCCATTCACTGGCCATGTTCGAGTGACATCACTGACGTAACCAAAGTATTCACAACCACCGTCAAGCAGAACCATTTCACCGTCCTGATGGAGGAGAGAGGGGGTACAATGAGTCATTACTTTACATGCATAACCACTTCTCAGAATGCTCACTGTGGATGTTCATTGCACCGTATTGGATAGAGCGGATGCATAAGCTCATTCAACACCGTCCGTTACCTTGATAATCTGGTTGTTGTTTATGTAGTGCAGAGTATTGGCTCGATTCCCTCCGGCAACAACGGGGGGATAGGCCAGGAAGTTGGCGCCATGGATACGATTCTCAAAATCAAACTGGAAGATTAACATTTTATTGATTTTAAAAAACCTTGCGAGCGTCATGTTTACTGTCGAAACAGCTTTTTGAATTCGCAGTAACCTTTAACTGGAGTTATGAAAACCAAAGCACAGGAAGTGCACTCTTTATAATCCCTGAGCTCTAGAAGCTGATCTCACACTTACTGGAATATCTGCGGTGGAGAAACAGCCAAATAGAGAGATAAGACAACGCAGCTAAATTATTGATTTGCCTTTCGTATTATCTAGATAAATATATCATTTTGATAAACTGACATCTTGGTAATACAGTTAAGATATTCCACATGCATTAAGGAGGCAGTAGCTGTTGTAAATGTCATCATGAGGAAGAAAAAATACCCCAGCTAAATGATATTATTATATTCTTTGTTACCTTAGCAAAGAGCACAGCCTCATCCACGTCTCCCTGAGACAGAGCCATCGTCCTCCTAAAAGCCTGAAAGAACAGGACTTGAGTTAGAGTGACTGCACTGTAATCCATCTTAACAAGTGTAAAGAGACACTGTTACACAACAATACAAGGAAATGTGGCTCCGTTTGTGACACTTATTGGTCATTTGTCGTTTTCTTCTTTCTGTTCAGTCTTGAAATATTAATAAATAGATTTGTAGGAACCGAACACAGACACAGCAAAACAAAACTATTTCTACTAAATGTTTTATTCTGGATTTGCAGACAAATCTAATACAAATCTGAAAATACCAAGGGTGTTGATTCAGAGTGCAGACCAGAAACATCGTTTCACATCAGTAATGAAAGTAATTCTATGGTTGAAATATATCTACATTTTGCATTGATTGTGATCATTTCCTTCCACAAACTATAAACCATTATGAAGTTGACGCTTCAGTAATTTAAACACCAACCTGTGCTGTGATGTGTCCGGCTTCCTGCATGAGCGCCACCTCTGCTGAGCTCTTGAGGGCCCTTAGAGAGTGTATGAGGGGCCTGAGAGTGTGCGGCATCGGCCCCGCCTCTAACACGGGACCCACGTGAGTCTGGTGGAGCCGAGGGTGGGCGGGCTGAGAGCCGTCGTACCACAGCACAGTGCCTGGAGGAGGATCGGAGTAGACGGAAAATGGCAACAGTGAAGTTAAGGTCTCAATTATTGTAGTTAGCAGTCAAATGTCAGCTCCTGTTTTTATTTTAAAAGTATACAGTTCAACCTCTAAATGAAAAAAGCATTTGCTGTTTAACACACAATGCATTAGACATTGGAGTGTAAAGGGCAAAAGAGCGAGGAACGGATTAAACAGTGCGTCTGTCTGCTCTAACGTCTGCATGCCCGGGTAACGAGCTTACTGTCTACAGTAGTAACTTCATGTTATGTCAAGGGACAAGTTACTAGCTAACAGCATTACATATCTGGGTTTACAGGTTACATTAGAAACAAACTGGAAAATCCACCGTCTGAGCAAGATGATAGTACATCAGTTTAGTCTGTGGTTACTATTCTGTCCTGTTCTTTATTTGGTTTAGGAGAGTTAACGTTCCAGCAACTCAAGACAAAATTGCGTAAAATAATGCCAAATTCGCACAAATATGTTATTTCTGTTAAGACTCGCAACCTTCCAAGGGTTGTGTCAGAGTAAAAAAAAAAAAAAACATACTGGCCAAACCAATTCTACACTGCAACACACAAACAATACTGCCCCGTGAGGATGCCGAGTCTTCTCCTGGGACGTAGCTTTAGTCTCGATCTTTTAGCATTAGCTATATATTGTATGACTATGTAGCCACAATGTACATACTTAAGACCCTTACAAACTGTTTGTTTGTTTATTCTTTTGTGAATTTTCATATTTTTATTTTTAAATGATGTCTTATGTGTTATTGTTATGCACCAATCAACAAGCCAAATTTCTTGTATGTGCAAACGTACTTCACAATGAACCTTTTCTGATTCTGAAACAATAAAAAGTCAGGGAGGGACTTAACGAACACTCCCGTCCACCCACCTTTTAGGCTCTTGAGCACAACACCCAGTTCCTCTGTGCTATGAACTCTCTCTATGCCGGTCAAAGCAGCCGCCCCATCCTTCCCTGACCGGGGCCCGTCCCACAGCTCTCTCCCCGGGTCTCTGCGGGGGACGAACAAGATGGCCTGGTCTGGTCGTCCTTTCCCATAAAGAACCAGGGCGCTGTCAGGCTCGAGGATGCCGCTGAGGTAGAGGAAATCCTGGAGAACATTCAGCTCCAGGTTAATTGACAAAAGCCTTGCTAAAATTGCGAACAGTATTCCTATTAACTCTCCTTTATACCTAAAGTTCATGTCTTCATAAAATATAAAATAAGGTCAAAAATAAAACAGAACATGCACCTGGTTCTGGTGGAAGGGATAAGGGATGTCATTGGTCATGTAGCGGGTCGGATGGGACAACACAATGGCCACATGGGTGCTGGAGGAGGCAGAGGGTCCCAGCTTGTCCGACTGGGCCTCCATAAGCGAGGCCAGCCTGTGTCTGCGGAGCTCGTATTCTGTCCGGCTCAAGCCGGGGGACACCTCACCTGAGGAGCAGAGATCACACATGTGGTGCTTCAACAACAAACTTCCACTGGACACTACTATTTGTTTACTTGATGTATTCCTATTGTATCTTTATGTCACATGCAGTAGAGTAATGGATGAACTGAAATGTGTAAACCGCAGTAGTTGTCAGTGATCAACAATAGCTCCAACTGCCACTAGAGAGCATGAATCCTAAACAAATATATGAATAATTAAGTATTGAGCCTGGTCCAAGATTCCCCTTAAAAGTGTAAATGTACTGGTCCAGCATTATTGACAATATTTACCATGTTTGATGAGGTGTGGATGAGTGAACGGGCTGGGCTGGCCCAGGTACCGAGGTGGAACTGTCTTTGGTTTCAAGCCTCCTAGTTTCACAGATATGTTTCTGTACGAGCACCGGACACATCCTGCAGACAGCAACACGACACAGAGAGCAAATACTCTTCAACTGGGCACCTTTACAATGCTGCATGCAGTTACTTCAACCATTTATTATGTTTCATCTGCAGTCAACGGATGTTCACAGAGTAGAACTTCACAACTGGACGACTTTAGCACAGATGTAACATATATGTCGGCTGATATGTGACAATAATTTTGCAGTTAGTGGAGTAGCAGCATAATGTAGCTTAAAATAGTAATACTCGAGTAAAGAACAAGTATCTTAAAGTTGTATTTAAGTACAGCCAACACGTAACAACACCAGACTGGGCTCACCTGGACCCCAGTGTCGCGGTGGCAGCAGCTTGATAGCAGACTTGACCAAAGTGCTGGTTGAGGGCAACATTGCTGCTGCAACTGGAGGACAACTTTCAGTCACAACATGTCCCCCCGCTGTAGACACGAGGCAACAGTCAGTGAAGTACAGACAACTAACGCTGGATATTTACGGGGACAAACAGCGGTGTGTTGTTGCGACTTACCAACGTTAAAACCTTCACATACAACGAATGTGTCGCTCTCTGGTTGACAGTTAGCCTCGTTAGCTTGATGCCCCCATGTTTGCTAATGTCGTGGATATGGACAAATTAAGCCCTGAGTTTCGCTTCCCAGGCAGAGGCGCTTAATCCCGCCTCCTTTGCTACGATTGGCGGAGTCAAAGCTTCTTCTTCTTCTTTTTAAAGACGGTTGGCAACCAGCGTATTAGATGCATTACCTCCACCCTCTGCTTCGGATCGTGGACCAGCGATTACGTCGTACCCGTTTGTTTAATAAAAAATATAGAATCTTCTTGCACAGGTTGCCTTTCTTTTTTTTCCCGCCTTATTGCAATCCATGATAACATACTCCCCAACCTAACATTGAACCCGTTGGATGTCTTCCTACTGCTATTTAAATAGGAAGGACCTAGTCTTAGTCTGTTCGATGAGCTCTCTATGATTCTAAATGTTGCATTGACTTTATCATTTAAATTGTACATAAACCTCCCTCTTATTTCAGTTAGCCTGCTGCTGTACTCCAAGCTATTCCCTTGACCCAGACTTGCTTAATGGGATTTGTAGATCTATAAGATCTCTCTCTAAAGCTCGTTTTGCTAACTGGTTCAGCTCATTCATGTCCCTCATTCCTCATTTCCCTTCAGACTTTTCTGCCCACATGTACAGAAGCATTATACCTTGTTGAATCAGTCTGTAATGTGTACAGACTGATGCTGTTTCACATTTTAGAGGACCATATCAGTGTTTGTATTATTTTAGCCTATTAATGGTGACTTTACTACCCGCTCAACAAATATTTCTTATTGTCGTGCACCCTTTTTTATTCTATACTAGCCTACATGAAAATCCACTTCATCACAGACCACAAGGGGTGGAATGTAACTAAGTACATACTCAATTATTGTACATTATTACAAATGTGAGATAGTTGTACTTTACTTCAGTACTATATTTTCATGCTATGTATATATTATGAGTTTATAGCATATGATGCACTGTTGTACATGGATTAAATTACAGTGTATGTGTGTATATATAGAAACATTCATATATACTGTATATATATA